TAAGAAGGACGCAAACTACTTGATTTATAGAAATGATCGTCTTGATGGACCCTGTGGTGGCGTTGCCATCATTATTCATAGACGAATCAAACATAAAATTCTTTCTTCATTTGAAACCAAAGTTTTTGAAACTTTGGGAGTTTCTGTTGAAACAAAATTTGGACAATTTACGTTTATAGCTGCCTATTTGCCATTCCAATGCGTAGGCCAGCAAAAGAATTTTCTCAAGGGTGACCTCCAGAAACTTACCCGTCATAGGTCTAAATTCTTCATTATTGGTGATTTTAATGCAAAACACCGCTCATGGAATAATGCTCAAAGCAATTCCAATGGTAATATTCTGTTTGATGATTGTTCTGCAGGTTATTACACTATTCAATATCCAAACAGCCCAACATGCTTTTCTTCTGCAAGAAATCCCTCCACTATTGATTTGGTCTTAACTGATTCATGTCAACTTTGTAGCCAATTGGTTACCCATGCTGACTTCGGTTCTGATCACCTTCCAGTAACTTTTGAAATATCCCAAGAAATAATTTGTAATCCCAACAGCTCTACTTTCAATTACCATAGAGCTGATTGGGAGCAGTATCGAACATTTATGGAATATAACTTCGATCCAAACATTCCTTTGCAAACCAAAGATGAAATTAATTATGCTCTTGAATCTCTGACTACTTCTATAGTTGAAGCAAGAGCTGCCTCAGTACCAAAATGCGAGGTTAAATTCGATTCAATTATAATAGACGATGATCTTCAGCTCTTGATCCGTCTTAAAAATGTCCGTAGGAGACAATATCAAAGAACACGCGATCCTGCCATGAAAGTTATCTGGCGGGATTTGCAAAAACAAATTAAAAAGCGATTCTCTGCCCTGAGGAACAAAACTTTTGAAAATAATGTTTCTAAATTAGACCCGAGTTCCAAACCCTTTTGGAAACTCACAAAAATTTTGAAAAAACCTCAAAAGCCTATTCCAGCGCTTAAAGAAGGTGGTAAAATTTTGATCACAAATTTGGAAAAAGCTCAGAAACTTGCTAAGCAATTCGAGAGTTCCCATGATTTCAGTTTGGGTCTTACTAGTCCTATTGAGAATCAGGTTGCTCGGGATTTTCTGAATATTTTCTCTCGGGAAAATATTTTTGATGATTCCTGGGGGACTGATTTGGACGAAGTAAGGTCTATAACTAAAAATTTTCAAAATATGAAAGCTCCAGGTGATGATGGAATTTTCTATATCCTCATCAAAAAACTCCCAGAGAGTACCTTGTCTTTCTTGGTAAAATTATTTAACAGATGTTTCCATTTGGCATACTTTCCTGATAAATGGAAAAATGCAAAAGTTGTTCCAATTTTGAAGCCGGATAAAAATCCAGCGGAAGCTTCTAGCTACCGTCCAATAAGTTTGCTTTCTTCAATAAGTAAACTGTTTGAAAAGATAATTTTGAATAGAATGATGCTTCACATCAATACGAACTCAATTTTTGCAGATGAGCAGTTTGGATTTCGCCATGGGCATTCAACTACTCATCAACTCTTAAGAGTTAACAATTTAATTCGTTCAAACAAATCTGAAGGCCACTCAACTGGAGTTGCTCTTCTAGACATAGAAAAAGCATTCGACAGTGTTTGGCATGAAGGTTTGATTGCTAAATTGAAAAAGTTTAATTTTCCACTTTATATTATGAAATTAGTTCAAAATTATTTAACTGACAGAACTCTTCAAGTAAATTATCAAAATTCCAAATCTAATCGACTACCTGTTAGGGCAGGAGTTCCTCAGGGTAGCATTCTTGGGCCTATATTGTATAACATTTTCACTTCGGACCTCCCTGATTTGCCTCAGGGTTGCCACAAATCTTTGTTCGCTGATGACACAGGCATTTCCGCTAAAGGAAGAAGTCTTCGTGTTATTTGCAGCAGACTGCAGAAAAGTTTAGATATTTTCTCTTCTTATTTACAAAAATGGAAGATTTCTCCCAACGCTTCCAAAACTCAACTTATAATATTTCCACATAAGCCTAGAGCTTCGTTTTTGAAACCTAGTAGTAGTCACATAGTCACTATGAACGGAGTTCCAATTTCCTGGTCAAACCAAGTGAAATATCTTGGATTAGTTCTTGACCAAAAATTAACTTTTAAAGATCACATTGAGGGCATTCAAGCCAAATGTAACAAATATATTAAATGTTTGTATCCTCTTATAAACAGGAAATCCAAACTTTGCCTGACGAATAAACTTCTAATATTTAAACAAGTTTTTAGACCGGCCATGCTTTACGCTGTGCCAACATGGTCTAGTTGCTGCACTACCAGGAAAAAAGCACTTCAAAGGATTCAGAACAAAATTCTGAAAATGATTTTGAAGTTGCCTCCCTGGTACAGTACTACCGAAGTACATAGAATTTCGAATGTTGAGACTTTAGCACAAATGTCCAACAAAATAATTAATAATTTCAGGCAAAAATCGTTGCAATCCTCAATTGCAACGATTAATTCCCTTTATACTTAGATAAGATTTAGTTTTAGTTTTTAGTTTTAAGATATCAATTGTTATACTGACATGCAGGTTAAAAAACCTGTTTAAAATACTGAATTTCCAAGACATGAACAATGTAAAAACACTTAGATATATATCATAACAATTAAGGCTGGTACGTTACTGCAGTAACTGGAGCACCTAGGTTAAAATGAAATGTAATTTATTTTGAATTTGGAACAAATAAAGAGTTAAAAAAAAAAAAAAAAAAAAAAAATCAAAGGAGCTTGTAAAATTAATATCAAGCATGATATTTTGTTCCAATATCACGCGTGATATTGCAAGCGCATGAGAGCGGAAAAATATCAATTGGGTTCTTTAAGGGTATTGAGATAAATGCATATTCGTAATCTGCATTAAAAATGGAACCCAAACCCAAAATTTCATCAATTTTGGAACACTGGAACTATTTTAAATAAATACGATTATATTTGCAAAAATCACCTCATTAGCGCCCCTCGGTGTCACTTTGTATCGGAGCGAGCTGTCAGTTTGTCAGTTTAGTGTCAAACAGTGAAGTTATTATTTTGCTTTAAATCTTGATTTAAAAATCGAGATGAAAGTGTGTGGGTTCGAAAAAAATATCGCTGTGCTCAGAAAACGAAGCTCTTTCAGATGATACATAAAAACCGATATATTTTTCAAAATTAAAGAACTCAATTGATTTCTGATTTTGCCAACACTGAACTGAACTATCCAATTTAGTAGGGTTAACTATCCCATTTCCGGCCTGTTAAGCAGAACCCGCACTTAGTCTTTCTTAATCTAGCGCAGTGTAGCACCAAACGGAATGTTATTAATACTGATGGCTTCCAAATTTATTTACCTTTCCGTATGTACCGTAAGATTTGATAAAGAGAAACCAATCGTTGAGATATTGTCAAAAGTCTAACACTGCTACCATAGAGGTAACTTTAAGACGCTCAACTTTTTGGCTCACCTCTGGTACTATCTTCGGTCCCAAGCTTGTCGAATCACCCCTCGAAACATAGGAAAAACCAATAACCCCTCATTTTATCTGTCAAACTTTCATAGCGAATCAAAACAAACATTCTGTAGTACTAGAATTTCGACTAGAATGGGGTACGTTAATCGTTTGCTTGGGACCAATAGGCTAGTCAAGTAGTGAGCCAATTTAAAATCGTTAGTTTCGTATTGATTGTTGCTGCTACTCAGTGCTGAGATTTGTCTTGTCATTGACAGACTTTTGCGCGATATTGACAAAATTGTTTTTCACATAGTCAATGATAGACTTGATCCTCAAAAAAATCTTTGTCAAAATCTCATTCATTTTTTCGTCAATGACAAAGATTCACCTGGTAACAGAAAGTGTAATTTCTTGCATTCTGAGACACATTATTGTTATCCAAGCGGTTCAGGACGTAGATGCTTATTCACTTTAATGGCTCCATGTAATTGTTTTGCTCAAGCCATTTAATTTCATTTCAAATTTAGCTAATAAACAAATCAGCACATGTTCGTCACTGACTAAAATGCTACTGACAATTGACATGGTTTGCCTTGACATGACTGTTAGCTCAAACGAGTGACCAAAGCAGAATTTTGAGTATCACCGTGTATAGTCGAAATTTTGCAGCACTGCTGCTACTTAACGCCAAACTCGGCCTACGCATTCTAAACTCGGCCTAACGTATTGAAACGCTATTGAACCGCCAATGAATTCACTTCGGCCTATCGGATGAAGATAAACATTTATTCGGTCGGAGCGCTTCTTTTGTTTTTGGGAATAATGGGTGCAAACCTTCGTATCACGCGTTTTCATTGGCTTTGTTCCGTAGCCTTTTAACTAAAGTATCGTACCAAACGCATAATTGACTTGTTGACTATGAAATCAAGTATTTATTTGAAGTTTTCTGCTCGATAGGCCAAAAATGGGCGATTAGGCCGAAGTAGTTCTCTACCCTATAAATTGAGATACAAATCAGAGGCCCCAAATTCAAAATCAAATAATTTAACCGTTGTTGACGAGCCCATACAAGCATAACTTTTTCATCTCTGTTTGATTTCCTGTTCATATTGGACAGTTAAGTTGTTATCACCAATGAACCATTCAGTAAGCGAAAGAATTGTCCGTGTCGCCAAAATCAAAATTGTCCAAGGGAAGCTTTTCTCTTCTCAAGTAGGTATCTATTATAAAAGGTAAATTTTCACCGCAGTTTGATTTCAATCGATAGTTAGAACCCTAATTGCCATCCTCATGTAAGAAGATGTCATGAAAAATCGAATTAATTTCCTGTGATGAATAATGGAGCAAATTTCAGTTTTATGGAGCTGTTGTATACACTAAATATGAAAATTGGCTTAAGTAACGTATACGTCACAAGGCGGAGAAGTTTATGTGAAAAATTAAGATTTGGAACGATTCAAAAAACTTTTTCCCAACTTGCTTCGGTTAAAAAAAATGAACGCATTCTTATTTTGGTATGATTCTTGTATTTGGACTGTGTGACGTGCGCAACTTGATTTCCGAAAATGACTCCGGATTCTTTGTTATCAAATTAGCAAAAATGATTCTAGGTACAGAGGTGCAGAGCCTAAGAAATTCGGGATTCGCCAAATAAACTAAATACTGGTATTCGCAGCATTGCAAAGCAATTACAGATCCTAAGTTTGTTCAGCTAATTGAGGAAAATATTCGGAACAAAGCTTCTAGCTAAGCATCGAGACTAGGAAAGAGCGCTCTTCTAATGACTGTGGGCTAATAAATGGAATAATGAAAGGGAAACAAAGAAATCCTCACTAGCTAAAATAACGAAAGCATTCTAAATGTAACCCTGGATTGCTCATTTCATGACAGCTTCCTCCTTCTGCTTGCAGTACTCGACGGCTTCGGTGAGAATTCGTTTCTCTACAACCCGATACTGCACCAGCATGGTTTTGATGTGACCCAGCTTTGGTGTACCTTTCTGGCCGTGGTTAGCAAGTAGGGCCTCATCCTGTTCCAGCGTGGTCCCACTCATCCGCATGACCAGCTGCAATCGGATGGACAGGAATTTCCACACCTTTTCTTTCAGTGATTCTTCCAGGTTGCAGTCTTCGGGGTCAAGAAGAGTTTGGACGACCTGTTCCTCTTGGGCGATCCAGTGGGCAAGTTGATCTTTGGTCATGTTGAACACCCGAGCAAACCCTAGCAGATCGGCAGGGATGCAGTCGGGGCCTCGGATGACGGCGAACTCTCCGGCTATCGGGAGATTAAGCTTTTCTAGTAGCTGTTTCCGTTCATCGAACAGCTCCACTCCGCAGTTAAGACCAAGCTGGATTATCACGCTGCTGTTGCTATTATCTGGAAACACGAATCTGTAGGGAAAGCGAATGGTAAATTAAAAATTTCCAAGAATAGCTACAATAAAAACAAATACCCATTGTGAACCAAAAAGTCCGCATTGGTCCGGTTGCCGTAGTGGATGAAGATCTGTTCCCCTTTCGCAAAGGGCTTCAATGTTTGGCTTTCCACTTGTTGCAGCTGCTCGTTGTAGCCGGTGGTAATCTGTCCGTTGATATGGTTAGCCATGTCCCAGAGGGGAATCAGCACCGGCCTTGGTTCCTGATCGGATGAGTCGCCTTCCTCGGCAGTTTCGTCCCTGAGGTTGACCGGGATTCGATTTTGGCGCGTCATAACCGTCGATGCTGCCCAGCTGTCGTACGGAAGCGGAAAGGGAAGAGAAAAGAAGCAGAAAACAAATGGTAAGAAAATGCGATGTGATGCAATTAAAAAAAAATACGCTGGAAACTGTCTGCTAATTGTTGCAATTGTTTTTCTGTTTGCCATTGCCCATGGGATGGGAAAAGGCGTGGATGCGGATGAAGGAAACTTGTTTTTAATTAACGCTAATTTGCCTGATGTTTTTTGTTTGTTTCCTCTTTGGATGATAATTTGTTTTCCAGAGTGATAAGAAAACAGTCGATCAATCTGTGGGGATTTCAAAATTATATGATACATCAAGCACAAATTGGTTAAGGTTGGTTAAGGTTAATTATCGTTGTAAAATAAACGGTGTTACACGGCAGAAGTATTGTCAATATTTCCATCCATATTTGTAAGTCCATATTTTCATGGAAATTGGTAAGATTTCAGGACGTTTCTAGAATAAAAATAAAAATGCGGTAACTTCAAAGATGATAATTCGACAGTGAGCATGCATAAGGGCCTATACGCGATGATCGATTCTCTTCATCGATTTTCTCTTTGCATTGCTACAGCTAAGCGAAACAATTTTGTAGAATTTATTCAAAGTAGAGTTGTAACAGGTTGCATTGGCTATCAAAAGCAACAGCAAACGCACCGACAAACGTTAAATCTAGCGAGTTATTAACAAAAGAGAAAATCGATGAAGAGAATCGATCATCGCGTATACGCCCTTATGAATGCTCACTGTCGAATTGATAGTTCATAATTGACATTGTGTAGTACTAGAATTTCGTCTGGAATGGGATACGTTAATCGATTTGCTTGGGACCAATAGGCTAGTCAAGTAGTGAGCCATTTTAATATCGATAATTTCATATTGATTGTTGGTCTAACGGCAAGTTTGCAATGACATAACTTAGCCATTTCTTGATGAATTTAAAATATTGTACCACCTCTATAATTCCTAGGGTCTGTAGATTATTTTGATTGTGAAATTATTGAAAACAGAGTCGTCTTTTTTTAAGCGGAAAGAGCTATTACACTTTTTTTTAAAGGTGTGTTTTCGGTTTTAAAAGTGGCTTAAGATCCATAATTTAGATTAATCAGAGGCGTTTCCTTAACCTCAATCTACCTGCGCACCAACTCTCAAAACATAAGCAATTATCAAAATATTGCTTGCATTGGATAGATATCGAGTAAACTAGTATATTAAGTAAGATTAAGTATATTTTTCGACCGATTCGAGTACGAATATGGCATTAAATCTGGTTTTGAAAGTTGGTGCACAGGTAAAAAGTGAGGTTACGGGACGCCACTGAAATTAATGGACACACATGAACCAGAATACAGTCATGGTTCCTATGTATGGATCCTGGAGACAACGGAACGGTCCACGAAAGATCCGGAACATCCGTAAAATGGGTCAATCTAGGAAACTGATCCTAGAGCTCCGCGGTTTTTTTTTTTCGAAAACACTTGCAACTGTCATACACAAATTAATGTGGGGTTCATGACATAAACATGTACCTAGAAGGCTAACGCTATCCTAACTCCGCGGCTTTTTTTTCGAAAACATTCAGAACTGTGATATAAGTAATAATTTGGGGTCGTAACATAAGCATGAACCCGAATGACCATGGGACCGTCTTCCAGAAGATCCGTAAAAGTGGTCCATCGATGATGCTGATTCTAGAGCTCCCGGTTTTCACGAAAACACTTCACACTTTGATATGTGAAAGAATTTGGGGTCGTGACATAAACATGAACCTTGATGGCCATTGAACCGTCATCCGGAAAATCCGGAACATCCGTAAAAGTGGTTCATACATGAAACTGTGAAAAACGGTGATTTTTTTTTTTCGAAAAATATGGAACTGTGATATAAGATAGAATTTAGGGTCGTGACATAAACATTGGCCATGGATGGCCATGGGACTGTCCTCCAAAAGATCTGGAACATCCGTAAATTGTTCAATCGGTGAAACTGACCCTAGAGCTCCACAGTTCTTTTTTAAACACTTGGAACTATGATATAAGAAAGAATTTTGGGTTGTGACGTAACAATTAATCCAGATGGACATGGGGCATTCCGGATCCATGTTTATGTCACGACTCCAAATTCATTCTTATAACACAGTTCCTAATATTTTTTTAAAGTAAACTGCGAAGCTCTAGGATCAGTTTCATGCATTTACCACTTTTAAGGATTTTCCAGATCTTCCAGAGGACGGTCTCATGGCCATCCAGGTTCATGTTTACGTCACGAACTATTTCTTTCTTATATCACAGATCCAAGAGATTAAAAAAAAAACGCTGAGCTCTAGAATCAGATGCATGGATGAACCAATTTTACGGATGCTCTGAATCTTCCGAAGAACGGTTCCATAGCCATCCGGGCCATGTCTATGTCCGACCACAAATTCTTTCTTATATCACAGTTTCATTTGTTTTCGAAAAAAAAAACTGTAGAGCTCTAGGATCAGTTTCATGGCTGTTTCGGATCCCGGAGGATGGTCCTATGGCCATCCGGGGCTATGTTTATGTCACGACCCCAAATTCTTTCTTATAAGGCTTGTACTCGAAAAAAATGCACCATTTTTATCCGTGTGTAACTTTTTTATCCGTGGGTAAAATTGATGAAAATCTGGGTATAACTAGTTTGGAGTGAATTGTTTACATGTGCAAAATTTCATAACAATCGGTTCAGCGGTTATTGAGATGTCATCGAAACAAGAAGAAAATCGTTGGAGAATTTTGCGCGCCGTCATGGAGAATCCGACTGCGACCATGAGATGGATCGGAAGACAACTGGGAATCACCCATACAACTGTGTCTCGGGTGGTAAAATCGTTTAAGGAGTCCCAGACGACCGAGCGGCGGGCTGGAAGTGGAAGAAAATCGAAGACAGCTGACCCTGTGAAGGCCCAAAAGGCGTTGGATTATTTCAAGCGTAATCCGAACCTTTCGATTCGCGACGCGGCTCTGAAGGCAAAGTGTTCCGCCTGGTTCGTTCAGCAAACCATGAACCGAGCTGGGCTTCGTGTATTAAAGGTCCGGAAGGCACCGAACCGGCGTGATCAACAAAACACGGCGGCCAATCCCGCGCAAATAAGCTGTATCGAGAGTGGTTAACGAAACCGATGTGTGTGGTTATGGATGACGAAACCTACATCAAGGCAGACGCAAAGCAGATACCGGGGCTGGAGTTCTACGTTGCCAAATCACAGTTTGATGTTCCGGAAGACATAAGGAAGAAGAAAGTGGACAAATTTGCCAAAAAATACTTGCTCTGGCAGGCCATATGCCAATGCGGTAAACTGAGCAAACCGTACATCACAATGGGAACCATCAACAGCGAAATTTACCGCACCGAGTGGCTCCAGAAGCGTCTGTTGCGCTTCCTGCGGTCCCACGGAGGCGAGACATTATTTTGGCCGGACCTGGCATCATGCCATTACGCGCGATCGACGTTGGATTGGTACAGAGACAATAACGTTGTTTAGAGATGAACTAGCCTAATGCAAAAAATATCTTAAATAAAGTTTAAAAAAATAAAATAACGTTGTTTTTGTACCAAAAACCGCCAACCCCCCAAATTCCGGTGGAACAATTTTGAGCCATAATGAAGGCCAAAGTTCGAAAATCGTTCAAGGTGTTTAAGAACGAGCTGGAGTTGAAGAAAGAATGGATGAAAGTGACCAAAAGGTCAGCTCCACCATTGCACAAATGTAATGAGGGGTCTTAAGGGAAAGGTGTGGGCTTTCAGCGATGGAAAAGAAATTGAATAAAGTAATTATGCCGAAACATAATCCATATGTATTAGCTCATTCCCTGAAAGTTTCAAGAAAATCCGACTTAAAATAATTTTTTGGCGAACACTTTTGTCTGGTGCTTTTTTTTTTCGAATACAGGCCTTATCACAGTTCCAAGTGTTTTCAAAAAAAAAAAAAAACGCGGAGCTCTAGGATCAGTTTCGTGGATTGACCCATTTTACGGATATTCCGGTTCTCGCGGATGACCGTCCCGTTGTTTCCAGGATCCATATATAGGAACCATGACTGTATTCTGGCTAATGGATCATTGAAGATGCTGAGGTTTTGACAGCACCGTACTGTGGCTACCACAGTATTTTACATTGGTTCGTCCGTATACAGTAGCGCCAAATGAAAACTGTGGTGGGTTCAAAACTCAGCCATCTAAAATGATCCATTATGAACATTAATCTCAATTATGGATGATATTTAAGCCACTTGCAAAATCTATAAACACACCTTTGAAAAAAACGTGTAACGACTCTTTTCGCTTTTCGAAAAAGTAGGCAACTCTATTTTCAACAATGTTACAATCAAAATAATCTACAGACCCCAGGAGTTCTAGAGACACCACAATTTTTGCAAATTATCAAGAAATGGTTAGGTTATGCCGTTGCAAACTTGCCGTTACACGTTTTTCGGAGGCATCGTATTCGGAGTGTTAAAAGATCGTGGATATCGTAGTTGCTACTCCGTTTCTGATCACAGCAACTGGAATTGCACAGAGAACCACATAGATGGCGCTTGCCATTAGCTTATCTCAAAGTGCAAGTTCACTAATTCAAGCTATTTATAGATCAGCACCGGCGCCGGCCACGCCCACACGTCTTTTGGGATGGGGAAGGATGATTAGAATGAAAATCGTTGTTATAGAGATTTTCACGTCCGGTTGTATTGGTGCGATATGTGAGAGCGAGGAAAAATACATAACAAATCGATGTCAAACCTGGGGAGGGACGTGCTGTCAAATCAGCCTACTGATCATTCTTGTATGAAATTGGTTCCAAACGTAAACAAACCCTGTAGGTTTCTTATGGCTTGTTTACGTTTGGAACCAGTTATGCGAGGTAGGCGACGATTGTTCGTATTTGACAGCCATCTCCCCCCCCCCCCCCTTGTGTCAAACTCATTTTGACAGATCTACTTTCATACATTTTTTAGGTTAGCCATGGCTGCAGAGGAAAATAATAAACAA